ACCACCTTCTCTCCCAGCTCATTTCATACACACACCACCTTCTGCATGGAAAAGTTGTTCCTCAGGTTCCTTTTAAATCTTTCCCCTCTCACTTTAAATATTGAACATGATAATAGGAGAAAAGATTGGGAACAGGAGTTTGAATTTATTTATGTAAAAGGATGGGCCTGTTTATAGGGGATGTTTGATAGATTTTCCCTTATTGCAAATTCCTTTTTTTTAATGTGGGATGGGTCATTTTATCCTTCACAATCACCTTCTACCTGTTCACCATTGGGGAAACAGTGACAAAGGTAGATATGGGAAATCCACTCCAAGAGAAAATTGTCGCTAAAATTTCACCTCCTTGAATAATACCATTGACAATTCCCTTCTTGGCAGTTAAAATTTCAACCCCAGTGCCAACTGACCTGCCATGTCTGAGAATGAGTCTTGGACCAACAAACAGCCTAGTATTAGTCAATGATAATAAATATCTCTGATAATGTATGCTATGAGCTGGTACCAGTAGGTCTAAACATTTTGGTTTAAACATACCCTGCCCGAATGGTGTTCATCACACACAATGGACCTATATGTGTTTTCTCAGTGCAATGCAGTGTTTTGCTTGGACCTGATGTACTTGGTTGTTGCTTTTTGCCCTCCAACATGGTGTGCTTGGCCAGCTCCATGGACCGTGACAGGCGCACGGTAGTCTGGATCTATCTGGAGCTGATGGTGCTGTGCTTGTCTCCCCTGCAATGCGTTTGAAAATATTATCGATGAATGAGTTCATGATGCACGTAGCCCTGGAGGAGTTGCTGGTGTCAGGGTAATACATGATCTTGATAGATCATTGATGACTGAAGCAGCTCAGTTCAGCGAATGGGGTCACACCCAGTGGTTGCGCCTCAGCTTCTGTAGGGAAAGTTAAGTCCAAATGCAGTTTGATGAATCACATTGTAACCATTTTAAATTCAGTTATATCCGTAGTTAATTCTTTTGATCTGGTAGCCATGGACCAGAAGGTCTAATACTGAGCTCCCAATTTAGGACAACCCTAACAGAAGGGCAAATAATTCAAGGCATGCAGCTAAATGCAAACCAGAGTCTGACAAAATTGATCCAAATCTGACCACTGTGTTGAACCGCCATGCATGAAGTATTAATAATTTAATCAAGTTAGAGAAAAGCATCTTGGATGCTGTCCTCAGCAGCTATACTTTGTAGCTGCTTAAACAAACTGGGAAAATCAAAGGCAGATTAATGAAAACAAAAACAGAAATAGCTAGAAAATTTCAGCAGGCCTGGCAGCATCTGTGGAGAGAAATCAGAGTTATTGTTTCAGATCCAGTGACTCTTCTTCAGAACATCTGAAGCTATATGGAGTAGAAAATTTTAGGATAATTATTTTAGATATCATAATGTGCCATTATATGCTGTAGACACAGAGGGAAATATCATTAGTATAGGGTTAGATGGGTACAGAGTAGATGCTACCACAAGTGTGTGCATCCAACATACAAACTGATGAGAAAAGGTGACAGTTTAATGCTACTGTAAATTGTACAATTGAAGCAATGTGGGATTCAAAATGACCGACACATATTGCATATCTGGGAGGCATTACATTACTGCACGGCAAAAGAATCTTCGATATGGGAACAGTTAACGTATGCCCTATAATCAATCATACTGTGTGCTTTGATCCACAAGTACCAGCAAGAACAGGAAAAGTGCAAATATACTAGAGAAAAAGCAGTTGACCTAGAGATCACAGAGAATTTGAAGGATAATTTGACACAGAATTTGAATCAGTATTCTTATGAAATTTCCTTCCTATGGGAACACGACAGTAATTCAGGAACAGGTTCCAATGATACATCGAACATATTTCATTTTTCAGCAACAAACTTAAGCCTTAAAGGAAAGGATTGATCAGATTGACTTTCGTACCTGGTTGGAGGATTTGTAGAACTGGGACTCAAACATACAAATTTACCCATGTATATGTATCATCTCACATGACTTGATAAGATAAGATTCCAATAGTCATACATATGACTTGCCTCATTTCCCGTACAAGAAAGGAACATAAGAAGTGGCAGTGGTAAGTCAGATTTAGAAATTGGAGTAATAAGGTAATGGACTATATGCCTGGAATAAAGGATTGGTTCATACAGATGATCTAACCACCCAGGGTCAGTGGGAGCATATTAATGAAATTGGCCATGTGAGTGGAAACAGCGAGTCATGGTGAATAAAATCAAAATAGAAAATGCTGGCTCCATGCAGTTGGTGAGGAATAATCTTTGGATAGAGAAACAATGTTAACATTTTTCAAGTCTTTGACCTCTCAGCAAAGCTGAAACCGTAACTCTACATATCATAGAGTCATAGAGGTGTACAGCACAGAAAAAGGCCCTTTATCCTATTACATTCACACGAGTCAGAAATGCCCACCATTAGAGGGAAATTTAGGTACGAGTTAACCATTGAGTCTAACATCAGTGGTAGAGAAATTATTGGAGAAAACAGTGAAGGGGATACCTAACCTCCATTTAGATAGAAAAGGTTGGAAGAAGAATAGTCAGCATGGATTTGTCAGAGAGACGTCTTGTTTAATGATACTGATGGAATTTTTTGAGGCAGTAACCGAATGTTTGAACCATTTGATGTAGTTTATATGGATTTCAGCAAGCCTTTTGGCAAGGTCCCACATGGGAAACTGCTAAAGAAGGTAAAACCTTATGGGATCAAGGGTAACTTACCAAGACCCAAAACTGGTTTAGTGACAGGGGATGAAGGTTAATTGTTGAAGGTTATTAGTGTGACTAGAGCTCGGTGTGCGGTAATGTGGCACAGAGATCAGTGCTGCGTACCTTATTGTTTGCGTTATTCATAAATCATGTAGATGAGAATGGGGGAAGGATGATAAGTAGCATCACGGGTGACACAAAGATTGCCTGGGATGCTGAGGAAGGTGTTAGATAAAGAAGGGTATGAACTGATTGGTCAGATGGGCAGATCAGGGGCAGATGGAATATAACCCAGATAAATGTGAGATGACTCACTTTGGAAGAAGGTAAAAGACAAGGGAGTACTTAATGAATGGTAAGACACAAGGAAGCTCAAAGGAACAGAGGGATCTTGGTGTGATTGTCCACAGATCCTTGAAGGTAGCTGAATTGGTTAATAGAGTAGTTAAGAAGGTGTATGGGACACTTGCCTTTAGATTGTAAGAGCAGGGAGGTCATGTTGGAATTGCACAGAACTTTGGTTAAGCCACAGCTGGAGTCCTGTGCAGTACTTTGGAGCAGACAAAGTTGAGGGGTACCTAATGCAGGTGTGTAAGATTGTGAAGAGCATGGAAACAGTGAATAGAAAACAGTTGTTACTCTTAGTCGAAGTGTTGATAATAAAGCGTGTATAATTCTAAACTGAAAGGCAGGAGGTTTAGGGGATTTTAGGAAAACCATTTTCAGCCATAGGGTGGTGCAGTTGTGGAATACGCTGCATGGGAAGTTAATTGAGGTGGGAAACCTCACAACCTTCAAAAAGTACTTGGGTGAGCACTTGAAGTGTCACAACTAGTGTGGGAAAATAGGAATAATATAGGTAGTCTTATATATTTTTGTGATACAGACTTGATGGGCCATTTGGCCTCTTCTGCACTCTATAATTCTAGATTCTATTATTCTTAAATACTAAATATTTAGAATGATTCTGCCTCTATCACCCTTCAGGCAACGACTTTCAGATTCCCACCACTCTCTGGGTGAAAACATTTTGCATCAAATTTCTAAACATTCTGCCCCTTAACCTAAATCCATGTCCCCCAGTCTATCCAATCTATGCCCCTCATAATTTTATACATCTCAAACATGTCAGCTGTCAAATCTCCTCTTCCCTAAGGAACACAATTCCAGTCTGTCCAACCTCTCATCATAGCTAAAACTCGCCGGCCAGCCATAATTCTGGTAAATCTTCTTTGCACCCTCTCCAGTGCTATTATGTCCATCCCAAGATTTGGATTCCAGAACTGCACTACTCTACAATACTCAAGCACTATCCGAATCAACATTTTATACAGTTCCAGCATCACTTCCCATTCTTAAACTCTATGACTTGGCTAAAAAAGGCAAGTATCCTAAATGCCTTCTTAACTACTTTATGCACCTATTCTGAAACCTTAAGGGGTTCGTGTACATGCAAACCAAAGTCCCTCTGATCCTCAGTGCTTCCCAAGGAATCATGTATTCCTTTACCTTGTTTGTTATGCTCAAGTGCATCAGTTCACATTTTATTCCATTTGTCACTAATCAGCCCATCTGAGCAGCGCTTCTATACCCTCCTGTAATCTAAGGCTATCCACCTCATTATTTACCGCACCACTTATTTTTGTGTCATCTGTGAACTTACTGATCAAACCTCCTATTTTCAAGCCTAAATCACTTACATAAACCATAAACAGCAAGCGCCCCAACCCTGACTCCTGTGGGACTGCACTGGACGTCCAACCTTAGACAGCTCAGACAATGATAGCTTCTTCACCTCCCTAAAGACTATGTCCTGGCTACAAGACCATTTCCAAGGCTGACCTTTTTTCAATAGCAGATGTAAGGGACTAGGATGGAGGCCAAATTATGTATGAACTTCCCATAATAGTTCACCAATCCATGGAAAGAAGTAAGCTCCGGTACAGCCATGGGAGGCGTGGCACCTTTGGTCGCCTTCAGTTTATCTTTCAATTGGTCTATCCCAATCTTGTTAAGTCAGTCACCCAAGTAGGTTGCTTAGGGTGCCTGGAACATACATATTTCCCCTTTAAGGCATTCGTTTGCCTGGAAGAAACATTTAAGGACTATGTCCAAGTTCTCTAAGTGCTCTTTATTGGTCTTCCCTGTAATTAGTATATTGTCCAGATAAATGGTGACATGGGGAAGACCTTGTAAAATGTTCTCCTTTATTCCACTGAAAAAATGGCACAGGCTGATGATACATCAAATGGCAGTCTCGTATATTGGTACAAATACTTATGGTTATTAGTTGTAGCATATTTCTGGGAATCCTCATCAAACCGTAATTGCAGGTATGCATGGCTTATGTCCAGTTTTGTGATGGACAGCACCCCCTGCCTGCTTTGCGTATAAGTCCTCTATCCGAGGGATTAAGCATTTATCCAGCTGCAAAATGCAGTTCACTGTTTGTTTAAAATCCCCACAAAGGCGAACTGACCCGTCAAGCTAGTCCCTAGACCCTCCTGAGAAACATCCTGGTGTTTAATTAGGACTATACTCAGGCAGCCATTTTTTAATGGATAAATGGTGAGCAAATCAAGGTGAATCTTTTTCAACCAATTTTGCTCTATCAGGCATGGACCTGAGCTTTTTAATACAATCACCAGTAACTGAACCAACTGTTTCTCATACAAGTCTGGAATTGAAGTTGTACCCTTAATCTATAAAGTTCCCCGTATGGGTTCTCAGTCCAGCCGAGGTCTTACACAAACTCAAGAGTTGGAGTCCAGAGTGAATTTTATTAAAAACTGGTTCTGCAATCAACAATGCAGCTATCCACCTCATTATTTACCGCCCCACTTATTTTTGTGTCATCAGTGAACTTGTAATAATTTCTAAAAACATTTTCAAAAACATCAACAATTAGGTCAGAAAAGAATTGCCCCGTCATCCAAACTCTTTTGTTTGACCTACAGTAGACACCTAGAGTTAATTTAAGGTAACCTTTAAAGGCTCGCTGGTTGGCAGAGTGGCACACCTCCACAGGCTTAAGCTTTAAGTCTCCACTGGCATTGGCACCCAATAGCACAGTCATACGATCCTTTGCAACCTTAAAGCCTGGAGCTTGTGCTTCAGTCTTAGAAATGTAGGTTTTTGATGGCATTTTCTTCCAGTATAAACCTGCCTCAAACAAACTGAAAATTTGATCTAAGTTGGATCCTTCTTCCTCAATCAATTTTTTCACTATGGGAGGAAATGTCATCACACGTTCCTCATCTGCACTGGCAGCTTCACCACATAACTTTGTGTTATGAAAAGCATAGTGGTCCTTAAAACCTGCAAAGCAGCCACTACTCGCACTAAAGCTGGTCACATCTGCAGGATTTTTAGCTTTTTTCTTTGGGTCTTCATAAATTGATAAGGCTTTCTCTTTTATGGTGAGAAATCTGGACCCAGGTTGCTTTTTGGTTTGATCTTCTATCCACACATTTAGAAGCCACTCCATCTCCTCAAGTTCCTTTGGCCGTGACCTCACAGATTTGCTAGCACTCACGCTTGTTTCAGCAATACGGCTTGCTTTAATCCTTTTCTGCATTGTCTTTAATAGTATGTAATGTAGACTCCTTTATTCCCGTTGCATGAACAATATCACATGTTCTTTCATTACATTCAAAACACTTTATAACATCTAGCTTCTCTTCAATTTTATCACCAGGATGCTTTTTGTAAACATTCTTGTTACTTTGTCCTCCCATATTTATGGGTAACGGAGCATAATTTGCAAAAAAAAAGAAAATTAGAGTACCTCTCAAAAAAAACTTCACAACAAAGCACATGAGTCAACTGAACATGTGATGTTGCCAAGGAGACTCTGTTGGCATAAACATTGTATTCCTATGTGCACCATGACACTTAAAATGTTGGGGATGGAATCGCATAATGGCCAACACACATATGCAAAAGCTTGCATTTTACAAACAGAGTTCACCTATTCATTAATCATGTTACAGCCAATTCGCATTGATGAAACATGCATAACAGCAGAAAGGACTGCTTCTTTCAGCCAGGGCTCCCTGATTGGACTAGGTTAAAAGCCACAATCTGAAAAATCATTCTGTGAGGTCCATCTGGCTGACCTTGTTACAATCACTACATCTGCCTGTCTAATTACAGATTAATTTTGTCCCTCAGAATTGCTTCCAATATGTTCCCACCACCGAGGTTGGACTGACTGGCCTATAGTTTCCCTTGCTCTTTTCTTGAATGATGTTAACGTATTGGCTGTCCTCCAATCCTTTGCCACCTCTCTTGTGGCAGAGAGGAATTGAAATTTTTTGAAAATTCCCCTGCTATTTGCTCCCTTTCCTCACTCCATAACCTGGGATACATTTCATCCAGACCTGGATATTTATCAACTTTTAAGCATGCCGGGACAGTCAGAACCTGGTCTCTGTCTATGCTATGATTTCTGAAGAAGGGTCTAGGCCCGAAACATCAGCCTTCCTGCTCCTCTGATGCTGCTTGGCCTGCTGTGTTCATCCAGTTCTACACCTTGCTATCTCTGTCTATGCAAATTTCTTTCATGGTATTACTGACCCTCTCCCTGATTACAATACCCATTTTGTCCGTCAAGTATTGACTGGTATTTTGAATACTTCCAGCATTATCTGTGCCTGTTGTAAATGTCCAGCGCCCACCATAATTTGAATTTGTATTGCTGGAGCAGCCGCCAATGGATACTACCATTTTGCCATGCATTTAAACAAGGAACAAAGAACAGTATACCACAGGAACAAGCCCTTTGGCACACCAAGATTGCACCAACAAATGATGCCTTTTTAAACTAAAAATCTTTTCCCAACATCGTTTTTGTCCCTCTGTATTCTATTTATTCATGTATCTATCTACATGCCTCTTAAAACATTGCTATTGTATTTTTCCAACACCTTCTCCAGCAGTGCAGTCCAGGCACTTACCATCCCCTGTGTAAACAAAAGACTTGCCTCTCACATCTCATTTAAACTGTCCCTCTCTTAACTTATATACATGTTCCCCCATTAATTGACATTTCTATACTGGAGGAAATAAGGATTTTAACTATCCATTCTATCTATGCTCTCATAGTTTTGTAAGCTTCTTATCAGGTCGCTCGTCAGCCTCTAACGTTCAAGTGAAAGCAAAACAAATTTATCCAATCTCTCCTCATTACTAAAACCAAGTTTGTCCAATCACTCCTCATAACTAATTTGTTCAACGCCTGTGTCGTTGGTTCGCAGATAACCTGCAAGCGTTTTGGACCTCGTTCTGGCAGCACTCTTGCTCCTTTGTAGGAATATGTCGTGTTCTTCCTTGTTGCAGACGTGGTATCTGGGGAGGAGAATCGCATCTCCTAATTTCCAACAGTCTGTTAAATACAAAAAAAACATTGAACGTATAATTGTGCTGTTAGTACTGCCACAATACTAAACACATTTTTCACAATCATAGATCCATACGTGACTGTTGTTAAATGGCCACAAATTGCATTGATGTAATTAATGGAACCAACGTATTCAAAACATCACAGGAACCCCAATTCAATTATCTTTTGACATGAGACAAGTAATCCACAGCTCAATCTAGTTTGAGTAGCATCTCAAAGAAGAGTGGAGAAGCGAGGATTTTAGGGAGGAGATTACACATAGAGGAAATACAGTTGGGAAAGAGAATAACGATGTGTTTCAAAGCAATTGCGCCACTTACCGTCCATCTTTCGCTAATGCAACTAACACTTCGGCTGAAGTCATGAACCACAAAGAAGGCATGCCCTCTGCCTAGCTTTTTTTCGAGTTGTGGATTTCAAACGTAACTTTTTAGGTGGAAGAGAAAAAAAATCAACCAGATGGGGACTTTCGCCCAGTTCGAAGCTGTGTAATTAAGTTATTAATTGTGTCTCAGTTAGTTATTCTATCGTTTCTGAATCAAATTCTACCAGGTTTATATTCAATTCCGGAAACGTCATCTTAAATATACGCTAAAGCATCTACTACAGTATGGATGGAAATATACATTGTTGGATGGACTTTACTGAATGAGAGCTGAATTGTTTGAGGGGGAGCACAGAGATAGAGTGTGAGAGCTGCACTATCGAAGAGTTGGCTTTCACAGAGCGCTGAAGTAGGAATTTCCAGTACTAGGAAGATGCGGTCTTTCAGAGCGTCAGTATTGAGAGATCTGTACAATTGTGGGTCAGCATAGGATGGACACATTGCTGCGACAGTAATAATGCAGCACTGCACTTTCAAGGATCAGTCCTGTAGGAGCGCTGCAATGTTATCACTTTTTCTGGTAAAGAAAATAACCAATGGTTGTCTTAGGAGGGTCACCACACACCAAATGGACAATTGTATAAAAAAAAAGGTGGTGGAGTACTCCCAGTGTCCTGAGCCAATAGCAAAGACTTAGACTTTGTCCATGTTTAATCTTGATACAAGGCTCCCAATCACTCCCAGTGGTAGCCAGTTGCGAAACTTCTCTCCAAACTGAAAGTATCAATGAATTCGAAACGTTAATTATACTTTCTCTGCTGAGTTTCTGGAGTAATTTTTGTTTTTTTTTTTGTTTTCCAGCATCCTCGGTTCTTAGCTTTATTGAAATTATTGGTGGCTATGTTTAGAGTCTCCAAATTCTGGATCCCCACAAAGTGGAAACATTTTCCCTCCATGTACCGTATCAGAGGATTTCACCATTTTAAAGAGATCTATTAGGTCGTCACACCAGCTAGCGAACAGAAAATAAAGAAGTTTACAGAGAATGGAGTCTCAGTCTGTCTTTACTTCCCCGTCGGCATCACATCTCGTTATAAATATTTTCAGCAAATGCTCCAATGCCTCTATATTCCTTTCGTAAAATTGATGAGATATATGCTCACGAATTCTAAATGCACTGGTTTAGCAGAATTGCTGACAACAGCTAACAGCTCTGTTGTGTCCGGGGAACATTGGGAAGGAAAGGTAGATTCATAGTTTATGCCATCTTTGAAAACGGAAAAAGAAAAATGTACTTACCTCAGTGACTTCACAATCACCTTCCTATGCAAAAAGTTTAGAGCCCTTATGACACTTCTTCATTAAAAGTTTTCTTTTCTTGGAACGTCTGCAACTTGAAGGATCGTGCTACATTTGATCGTATTTCAAACAGTAAAAGGAAGTGGTAGATTTTGTGATTTCAGATGCAAGTGAATGGCGACTTAGGCATGTTTGAAACGAGATCATAAAAAATAACAGTGCCCCGTGTATCAGCAGAACACGTGGACAATGAGATTTTGGAGACATGGGGGCTTAGTAGAGGTGACAGTGGGCATGATTTAATGGGTAAACTACTTGTATTCCATTTGAGGGAAGGTGTCAGGCACTTCCTGATTTTCAGCAAGTTGTAGATGAAATGAGGGCACTATGACAGAGGAAGAGAAGTTGACAGGAGAAACAAGAGAGAAGGCCTAAGTAATGGTGGAATAAAATGACAAAAATGGAAGAAAGAATAATAGCTGAATGTCCTCCTCCTGTTCAATATGTAACAGGTAAAGATCCTGTCAAAAGGGCCAAGGGAATGAATGCCTACTCCTTGTTTCCTATGCACCTCCCTAAATGGGATGGAATGGCAAGCTTCTGTTCCCCTGGAAAAGACTCAAGATGGGTTGAATTCCTGCTATTCCAGGTAATGGGTCCAATGGGGTGAATGGGTCTCCTGTTGCTGTGTAACAATTTCTGGGCAGTGAACAATCTCCAATTCCTTTGAAGTTGGGATGAATAACTTAAATGGTCCTCCGTCAGTTCCCATGTCACTAGTACAACTGGATGAATGGTCTCCTCCTTTTTCCATCTGTTGAGTTCCAGGCAACGAATGATCACCAGCTGTTTCTATGCAATAAACCGAGGCGCTGAATGGCGTCCTACCACGTCCGAAAGACTTTTTTCCGGTTTTCAAGACCTCAATCCCATGTCAGATCACGACCTGAAAAGGCGGGGCCTTTTTGTATGAGATTAAATTACTGTGGGGACAGGGGGTCACAGTGATATATTGTAATTCAGTCTCTGTACAAAAACCTCCCTTTACAGGTCTTTCGGGATCATCAGAAAAGCAGAGACAAGGGCTGGAAAGCGCCGACATCCTGTGGCGATAATGAATCCAACTTTTTCACCTTAGAAGGCACTTGATTTGTCCGTTAAGGACATTTTTTAGGTTATAAGGTTCATTTTGTGCCATGTATGGAAGTACCGAACACTCTTCGCCCTCAAAACCTCTCCAGCGCCATGACCGATATTTACGTTCATTCCACAGTTAAAATGGAAATCTGATAATTCAACGCAATTCTATTTGAGTGATTTCTTGGCAAAATTCGATTCCAGCGACCCCCTATAATGCTCACGTTAGGAAAGTATTTTATTGCGTTTAATCTGCTTTGGATATCAGTTTGATGAATTAATCTATTTCTGAGACGGAATTGGTCATTTTGAGTTACAAAGGATTGCTCTTTCATCTTCCAGCACAATAAGGCATATTTGAGGGATGGCTATTCCAGTTGGTTCAATACAAGAGGGATGACTTGGCAGTACTCTGAACACAGTTTAATATCCCCTTCGCTAACCGTTAATTGCAACCATAAGGGTTAATATGGGGACTATTGTTTAAACTCTGATTCCCGGAGATCAGAACTCAATCATTCAGGACAAATTGAAATCCATAGATGAAGACCGAACCATAAAGATCAACATGGAATAGTGCAGTCTACAATGAAATTCCTACAGTTATTTGCGGCATTACACGGACTGGATACAGGTTACAGTAGAAAGAAATGGCAATTTTGAGGCTTTTTAAGATGCTGTAGTGTCACCGTGTGACAGATGAGAATTACTTTGGGCAAGGGACGAAACTAACAGTTTTGGGTGAGTTCCTCTTATTTCTAGTGTATCTGTCCAGGCGGTGATGATTAGCTTTAAAATCTCTGTCCACGATAGCGTTTGGCTCTTGAATATTCACTTGCAAACGACACAAATTCTCTCAATTGGAAAGAGATAGTTCTGGCGCCTGTTCATGATTTAGAATTGATCATTGTGCAGGAAACATCGTTTATTTCGGCGAGGGGACAAAGTTAACAGTTTTGGGTAAGGTTTCTGTGCCTCTATTAACTAAAACATAAATCTATACAATTGCTTATGTGTCAGGCTTTTAAATATATGTTGACGACTAGTTGCTTAGACTAAACTTGTATTCTCTCGAATAAAAAGCATCCGTTGTTCATATAACCTATGCGTTTAAGTTTTCGTAGAATGGATAGAGAGAAACTATTTAGTCTAGTCCAGTTGAGTCAAGAACAATTGAACGTCGAGCCAGATTTTAAGTGAATGTCAGAATTTCTCTTCCCAGAAAGTTGTTGGGCCTATAGGATTTCAATATAGTATGTGATTCGAAGTATTGAGGGTTACTGAAACCAAGGCTTGAGATACAAATCGTCAATAATTTAAATGACTGATGAAGCAGCTTAGAAGGATGAATGGCCACTACATAGCCGACATTCCTTACCGATCATTGATGTTGTTAATGTTCCAAAAATAAAACTAATGACCCAGACGTGAGGAGGATTTTGCTTTCGGTTCATACCATTGTGTTCTGCTAGTGAAGTTTACTTCGGAGGAGGGACAAAATTGACCGTTTTAGGTAAGTGCATGTATTCCTAATACTGGAAAAAGTTGGTTCACTTCTTGAACTCGTACGGCTGATTAAGGGAATGAAATTATAGGAAGTCGGTGAAAACAGGGAATCAACAGGATGGTCAGTAATAATTCCAGCTGAGAATTCCAGTGAAAATTCCTTTCCAGAGCGTGCTGATAACGTGTCACCTCCGGGAATGAGTTGAGGTGTGTAGCCCAGATTCAGTCATAGGAAAACACATGAAGGAAAAAGGAACGGAAAACTATTCTTAGATAATAAGGTGTAGAGCTGGATGAACACAACAGGCCAAGCAGCATCAGAGGAGCAGGAAAGCTGACGTTTCGGGCCTAGACCCTTCTTCAGAAACATTTTCCAGCATCGGCAGTTCCTACTATCTCAGAAAACTTCTATTTTATCGCCATTGTCTACCCGAGGTCGAGGGTTACTACCATTTAGAGACAATCTATTTTAAAATTACTATTTGAATTCGATAGTGTTGTTAAGTTGTATCTGTACACCTTGAGGTGTCCATTGTCTAAGTAAACTTTTCTCTTGGACCAGAAAACTACCGGAGCTAAAAGAGTTGCATTCTATCGAGAGGTTCCTAACCTTGGTTTGGGTATCATTTTAAATATTGAATATTCAGGGATGATCCAACTGATGTCTTTAAAATTCTATAGGATTCGATTACATGTATAACAATAAACTATTTTCTTTGCTGTGGCGAATACTGAATGATGCGTTAAACTTTAAAATTGGTATGGAATCCTTCAAGAATGATATCATCTTTTTCTGATTAACTCAGAGTCTACTGAAATTCTAGATGTGTAATTCCGAGAAAATTGTTAAAACAGGAGGGATTTGGTGATGAGCATGTTGTGAGTGAAATAGCCGAATCTGTAACCGATTGAATATATTGGCATTAAGGTTATGGAACCAAAATGGATAAATTACATCAGAATTGAGATAAGCCTAATTACATATTGGAGCAAACTCGATTGACTGAATGTACCCGCTCCTCTTCCTTTAATGCCATCGTCCTCATGATCCCATTCTCCTTTGGTCGCGTGTTCCTCCCCTTATTGGTTCACATGCAAGTTCCCCAGGAAAACTAATCGTAGGCACCTGAGATGTTTTTAAATAGGCATTAACCCCTGTGCTCTGCTGAAAAGTACTATTTCGGAGCTGGAACTAAAGCGACTGTTTTAGGTAAGTTCATATTTATAAGTATAAGTATAAGTATATCCCTGAAAAAGTAGGTTAAATTAAAATATCTATGGATTTACCTTTATATGTATCTACCTGTCTGTCTTTCTATAATTCAGACACTCTGCCTGTCTGCGTATGTATCATTATCTATCTATCAGAACGCACGTTTTTGTACCTCTGTTTAGAGACCACGGATTTCTTGTACTGTAGTTTAGCAAAGTGATTATAACAACCCTCTGCATTTTGGGGACGGGACGATTTTAACTGTTTTGGGTGAGTTCAACTTCTCTTTTTGCAACAAAGTTAGAGTGGCGTGTTTTAAACAGAATTGAACGACTACTTACAAGTAAACAAGGGAAAATCTTTTAATACTGTCAGAACTGTAATCTTAGACAAGTGACATGCAGATCCACAGGTCGGGGGACAGGTCTATTAAGAAAGATACTTGGAAACCTCCCTGGTAAATTAATGCGCTTAGATCAAACCTGCTGTTACCTTTTGTTATCCACAATCCTTTATCAAAGATTGGGGATGTGGTGAAATTTTGCCCAGAGACTGTTGTGAACTGTTTTTGTGGTGTGATATGGCGTGGGAGCATATAGCAGTCAACCCTTGCATTTTGGACATGGCACGAAGTTGACAGTTCTCGGTAAGTTATTGATCAAAAGCATCCCTTATCAAATGCTCATCAATCGGTTAGCTAAATCGGCAGGACAGATAGTTAGAAGAGTGATAAACGCGAGTTCAATTCCCGCTTCGGGTGAGGTTGCCAAAAAGAACTCTCTCTTAAAAAGAACATTTCTAATCAACCTGAAATAGATGTCATTACATACCTCCGGAGCAAATGGGATTTGAACCAGGTCACCCAGCTCAGAGGTAGGCGCACTACCACTGTGCTAAAACAGCCCTTTCCAAACTGTTCCTTCTCAACCTAACTCCTGATCTCAGCCGTGGAGGCTCCTGTGAAAACACTGCCTGTTGTTTCGCTCTAATCAGGGAGCAGGATATGGTGACTACCGCTTTAATCTTTAGACAAGTATTGAAACTCTCGACCTATTCATTCTAATCAATTTAAAGATAGGGCAGAAACAATGAAATTTAGAAGGATTTACATTTTCTTTAAATAGCAAATACACCAACTAATTTAACATAAGGGAAAATTTGTAAAGGCATTGAAGGAAGACGAATGAGACATAAACTGGCAACAAGATATTTTCACAGAATGTATAAGAATGGATTAAGAAGTGGTTCCTCCAGTTCCTCCCACAGCTCATCATGATTAAAATTAACTTACCACTGATTGAAATCTATTCTGCTCCATATTCCTTACAACTTCCTAGTTCAAAAATCTGTCTGAACAACATTGAATATAATGATTTAACCTCCAGAGCTCTCTAGGAAGAGAATTCCAAAGATATGCCAACCTACGAGAGAAGAAATCAATCTTCATCTCCGTTTAAAATGGGCAGCCACTAATTCAGAATTATGTCTCAAGAGTTCTAGATTACCCATATGGAGAAACATCATCAGCATCGTCCTGTCAAGTCCCATTTAAAATTTCATAGGTTTTAATAAAATCTCTTCCCATATTCTCAAATTCCAGCTGCAGTACAATTTTTTTTATCGAACATGTATGCCACTGACTGGACCATAATGTATTAACCATCCCGAAATGACGTTGAACTGAGTAGCATATTCTGGCCATTTCGGAGGAAGGTTATTGTCAAGCAAATTTCTGTTGATCTGTATACACATCTATGCCAGACCAGGTAAGGATGAGAGATTTCCTTCCATGAAGGATACTAGTGACTCAGGTGGCTACTGACAAAAATAGGCAATGGTTACATATTTGTCATTAGACTAGCTTATAATTTCAGATTTTATTTAATAAAGCTGCATGAGGATGGTAAATTAGAGACATAAAGTAGTAGGGAAGACTCAAAGCCCAGGCTAGATATACAGCACAAGAAGATAAAGAGTTATAGGTTAGAATTACACAATATATAATTACTAAATAAGCTCATGAACTAACCTGTAAGAACAACAGAGTCAAGAGTTTTCATACAACATGTAATGCTGTGTCAGGAATTTATGACTATACATTTAGTGTTGGTTCAAAACTTGTGGTGTCGGGTAAGTGATATAGAGTCAAGCTGGCTCTTCACAGCAAAGTAACATAAGAGAATATTGTCTTATTAAAATCAAAAGAAAGTTGAAGGCTAAATGCACGGCCAAGTGCATAATATGTGAACATAATCAAAGCCGTATTCATGTTCAGATTCCAACATTGTATGCTTCCAAATGCTAAATTCAAAATTTGCTGAACCAAATTCAATTTTCAGCATTTTAACTGACATGAACTAACTGTCCTGAATGTATAAGGCTGATTGTGATACCTTTGTTTTAAATGTTCCTACATTAGTTTAATGTGATGCTAGTTGTGAGGTAGAAAGACAAGTAGATCACAAAAGTGTCCGGAGGTTTAGACTGAAACATTGCTGAAGGTTAAAAGCACACAAAATGGTGAAGGGTTTACATAGTTATGAAAGGAAGTTATACCTAACTTTCATAAATCACTGGATAGATCCCTGCTGAAATAATGTATCTAGTTGCAGATATCACATAGAAGAATGTCAGAAGGTTGCATAACAGATTCATTTAAATGCTTCCAAGGATGAGCAAATATATTTCAGTGTCCATACCAGAGAAATTGGGATTGTTCTTCTTAGAGTTTAGGTGAAGTTTAGATTAAAGTTTCAAAAATAATGTAGACTTTTGGTGCATAAAGTAACCGGAGACAGTTTCCATCAGTAAAGGTATCTGTAATTTAAGGTAATTTAGTGAAATTGTAAAACATGGTTTTCCGGCAGCACATTGTTGTGATCTGAAACTTTTACATAAAAGGGATATGGAAGCAAATTCAATTGCAATATTCAAAAGAAAAATTGGTTAAACATTGAATGAAAAAGATTGCTTCTAGCAAGCAAGCAAGCCACCAATTAATGGTTATACATTTACAAACATTAGAGAAATATTTGCAGTAGAGTTTAGGAGGTTATTTATAAACTAATATTGAATACATTCGGAACTATGACTGAAGAGGAAGTGAAAATTCACTATGAATAGGATTGAATGGGATTTGTCTAAAATCGAATCATAGGAACATATGATCTACAGCAGGACATTAACTCATTCAATCTGTTCTACCATTCAATAATATCATAGCTAATTTGTACCCTAAATTCAAACATACTTGCCCAATACCGGAATAATATTTGTTGACAAAAACAATTAGCCTCAGAATTAAACCTTTCAAAAGATATTTGAACAATTGAATTTTATCTTTTGCCTATAGAAATGTTTCCCAAATTCACGCCTGAGAGCTCTGACCCCAAAGATTAGATTATAATCCATGAGTGCAAAAGTGCCCAAACTGCAGAACTACTTCATCTCTATTGAGTATGTCAGTCAGTTAATTATGAGCTCTTTAATTTTATAAAGTCTAGTTATCAAAATCCTACTTGGAAAAATCCTTCTTTGTAATGTAACATTTGAAATACAGATATAATTTAAAGAAGATAAGCAAAGAAAGTTTTTTTTTAACACTGGGATGCAGGTGCCTGGAAAAGGCCATCAAGGGAAGTCACAGAAGCACATGAGCAAAGTTTAAAAGGCATTTCCACAGACATATGAACAGGCAGGGAATGGAGGGATACAAACCATGTGCAGGCAGATGGAATTAGTTTAGAATGGTATCATGATCAGCACAGATATGGTGGGCCAGAGGCCCTGTTCCTGTGCTGTACTGTTCTATGTGCTATAATTCTAATCGATCAACTGCAGTCCCTTGAATGCAAATAAGCATTGTGATGACTGAGTAGGCAGAGTGAATTGTAGTTAAATTAGCTACGTAAAAAAGCACAATGAAAGGTTAAGAAATGGTGAATTGAAAGCAAAGGGGCAGAAAATTGAAAAATAATGAAAAATGTAAACCGTTTAGAATTCATTTAATTAAAATTTCCAAAAGCAATTTACCATCATTAGTAATGAGATACAACACAAGCAACGGTTACATTTATGGCCCAGAGACATTGACTAGGATTGCCTTAAGAATTATCACTTTAAAAATACTGACTTCAGTGCTGGTTTAATCGATTTGGTAGTGTATTGTAAAATTGTAGTGTTTTGTATTGCAATGGCCAGTTACTCTCTGGAGTCAAGTCACAAATCAGAAAATTATAAATCTCAATGTAGTTTTAAAAACATATGTATAGTACTATTCTTAGCTAAACAAACAAAAATGCACCAGAATATCCAAGTTAGGAATTTATAACGGGAATGTTGACTGTGCATGATTTACGCTTTAGCGGAGACATCAGGACTGAAAGGAGAATATTTTAAAATTAGAATTATAGCAGCTAGGAGTGAAATCCAGAAGCATTGTTTCACAGAAATCAAAATAGAATCTGAATCCCTTCCCTATAAAAGGACAGTGGATACAAAAAGCACTTTGAACCTTCAAGATTGAGATTGATAGCTTTCTAAGGCATGCAGGTATCAAGGGATGTTGCAGATGGTGTTCTGGCTGTAGGAGCTGAAAGGCATTCCAGCTCAACAACCTGTTTGAATTAGTAGTTTTTTTGACGAGTGTTTAACATGGTGCTACAGCAACAACAGTCCATTATATTTCGGTGAAGGCACTAAATTGACAATTGTGGCTAGGTAACATAAATACATTATTGGTTTTTTAAAAATTGCTACTATATTGTAACATTTTGCAATCTCCAGCTACTTCCTATGATCTCATTTCAGTTACAACATTGCAAACCCTAACTGACATTATAAGATGTATTGTATACTCGTGAGGACATTTTTATTTCGAAAATATACTTTATTCGTTAAAAAATCTGTATACATATATGTGTATAGATTTTTTTTGGCTCTGTAAAGTAGCATATCAAGGAAACAAACAAACACTGGAGTTTGACTCTATCCAAACAAATCAAACTCTTACTTGAATCAGATTATATTTACATGCATTTGAGGCACTAGGAGGGTCTGATAACTGAATGGTGGAAATTGCTTCTGCCAATCTACTCCAATGGAACCCTTCATGATTGTGAACATGCCAGCTAACTATTGTTAACATACACTGGAAGAACAAGCTTAGCTTCTCCAGTCTCTCCATATAACTGAAACCATACTACAATTTTATGACAATCTTCCAATTTTTGACATATTTTCTAAATGTGATGCCTGGAATTGGACACAATACTTCTGTTGAGTCCTTATAGTTAGCAATAGCTTGAAAGGAGAGTAGGCAGGAAAGTAGAGTTCAGGATGAGATGAGATCAGTCATGATTGTATCAAATGGCAGAGCAGGCTCGAAAGGCTGAATTGACTAATTCTGTTCCTAGTTCTATGTTCTTATAATTGGCCAGTGGTTTCATTGCTGGGCTGCAGGTTTTCTTTCATCTGTGAATTCAGTTTATTCACTTGATATACCTGGCCTAAGCTGTCAATTCTAGATAGGTACAAAGCCTTAGTATTCAAAGTTTACTAGACTGCATGTATTCATTCCTTGCTTTGTAATTATCCCCAATCCTAATAAACTGAAACCAAAACTGGAAAATACAAATTGCAAGATTTTTAATTTATAAAGGCACCATTTTTAAACAAGCAGGTTACAAGATTTCACCCATCTGAATCCATCTTGCCTTTTCAGAGAGTTGTTAAGAGTCAACAACATTGGTTTGGATTTACATTAAGGTGAGACCTGAGCAGTGATGCCAGGTTTCTCTTCTTAAAGTATATTAGTGAATATATTAGATTTGCTATAGCATCTTAAAAACTTTTGTGATCACATTTAATCAGAACAGAGGGAGCTCATTTGATCCATCTTACCTTGTCAGTTAACTGGAAGAGTTACCCAGTTAGTATTATTTACAATTTTTCATTATAATCAACAATGTTTTCCTTTATCAACATGATTTTAATTCCATTTGAAAGTTATTGTCAAAATTGCATCTGTCACTATTACTGAGATGATGCATTTCCAGTGATAACTACCCAGTGATTTTTTGAAAAGCATTGTGTGTCCTGTAGGTGCCAACTGATCCAACAATGGAAACAACTTTTCAACTTTAATTTCATGAAAATCCCTCATTATTTTGAACATCTCAAATAATATGTTTTTACTGTTCTCTTCTCTGAGGAGAACATCCAGTCTCTCCATAATAACTGAAACCCCCTATCCCTGGTACTACTCTGGTTATCCTGTTCTGATACCCTCTCCACATACCTTGACATCTTTTACAGATAACAATGTTATTTCTAATTATTTGTAATATAAGTATCAGAAACACAATTCCAGTAGTGATACCCCCAAATTTAAACCTGTTTGACAGAAAAGGTCAAAGCAATGATTTTATTTAACTTCATAGTTTTATTGCAACAGTTAGTAACTGCACTACAGAAATACAAATAACTTCACGAGAGATGCAACTAAGTTTTCAGTGCCAGCTGAGTTATTATAAATGTAACACTGGCTACTTGCTAATTTCGAAACTTAAATTGTTGGTGTTTAGCAATTAGTCAACTATGTAGTTTTTAGGAACACCTTAATACATTTATAGATAAAGGGGAATGTAGAGATAGTAATTTTAGTTTCTGGGCTTCAAGATTATCGGAGTCTGGATATTACGAATTTACAAGGTTTCTGTTCACCTCCAATGCTGGTCTCCTGTCCATTTCCCAGTCCTTTCACCCC